ATGGGACTATTACCAGGAGGTATGGGAAGCCGGGGAAATGGGGGAAACAGTGGGAAAGGGCATACTGACACTACTATAAAAAAAAAGGACAAAATGAACATCAGAAATGATAAACCCATCACGCTCTTGACAGTAGTTTACAAAATGCTTTCGAAAGCGCTAGCAAATCGCACGGCGGCTGTCTTGGAAGATATCATACATCCGGCCCAAACAGGGTTCATGGCCAGCAAGAATATACAAGAAAATATCTTGCTGATTAACGATGTGGTCCAACTGGCACAAAGAAATCGGTCAAATGCAGCGATTATATTTATTGACTTCGAGAAGGCCTATGACCACATCAATTGGAACTTTCTTGACAAATATTTAGAAAAAATGAACTTTGGTTCCGCTTTTCGCCGTTGGGTGAGAATTCTCCACGAAAATGCCACCACCTGCGTGCAAGTCAGTGGTTTGGTGGCACCCCCATTTGAACTCCAGCGGTCAGTGAGACAAGGGGACCCCATTGCCCCCTATCTCTTCTTGGTCATAATGGAGGCACTGTCGGCCAACCTGAGACACAATAAAGATCTTACACGGATCAGGATTACCGATATCCCAGAGGAGACAATACCTATCTGTTCTCTTTTTGCAGACGACCTCACTATAATGGTGGAGGCAACGGACTCCAATATGGAAGAAATCCAGAATCTTATGAGCCGTTTCTGGAAAATGTCAAACATGACCGTGAACTGGGGACAAAAGACCGTAGGATGGTGGTTACACCACCAAGGGGGAAGGCCACCGAAAACCCGCGAGTCACCTGACTCACCCCAGAAGAGCCTCTTAGGATTCTTGGGGCTCTAGTTACGGCTACGGGTGAACCAATGACCAATGATGAATGACTGACACGACCGACACAGGCCAAGCTACAAAGTTGGAACAACAAACACACCTCCATTTTTGGGCGGACTCTGGTAATTAACAATGTAGTACTCGGTACACTTTGGTATAAGGCTATTCTATGGCCCATGAGCAATGGAGGGCTCAAAACACTGAAGCAGCAGTTGGCGGCCTTCCTATGGAGAGGGGACAGTAACAACCCCCACGCCATCAGCCGAGTAGCATGGAAATCGGTGATTCAGCCTAAGGCCAGACGAGGGTTGGGGATTGTGGACCCGACCACACAGTTCCAGGCCCTCACGGTTCGCTGGCTCCAACATATTATCTTCTCATCAACCTCTCCATGGGTTCCTTTAGCCCTAGCGCAAATTGCAGCCCTGACCCCAGAAGTTCCGCCTCAAACTGACCCCTGGTATGGCTCGAAGAGAGATATTGAAAGCTACTTAGGAAATATCGGAATGGGGATCCTACAGATAAACAATGGTTGCGCCTCCTGCATACGAGGAAGCTCCCCCCCCCCAGACCGACAGACACCAGACAGGTGGGAGGAAATCTTCAGACAACCCTTGTTTGGAAATCGACTGATCACGGACTCACTGCGCCACGTGAGGTGTAACTCGGACTCCCCATGGAAGGCTTGGGTGAAACACGGGGTCCGGAGGGTAGGGGACCTTTTGGACACGGAGGCAAGGTGCTGGAAAAACACAAGAAGAATGTGCACATGGCTGTGGTACTATCACTTCACAGAACCAGCCCTGGAAGAACTCATCGAAAGCTTCCCCCTTCATTGGTACATCACCCTCCAAAAAGGCCCTTGCCTAAAAGAAGGGGACTGGGTAGGGCTGCCCAAGCATGATAAGCAAGTGGGGCGCGTGCACCTCATCCATCCAACACAAGTGCTGATCGAAATCTTCTCTATCCAGAAGGATGACAGATTACAGTGGAATCAACAACGCTTTATATGGACAGAGAAAAAGGATGTATATGGCATTGGAGTACTTGATGATGGAAGAGGATGGAGGGCATACCGACCAACAACCCCCATCGAAGATCTCCCTTTCGACCCCGAGGAATGGAGATGGTCTCAGGAAGCTAGGATCCATAGGGGGAAGGCAAAGACATTAACACTAGTCAATCTAAAATCTAAATCGGCTTACCGAATGCTCCGGCCCAAACGTAGACTGCGAGAGTTAATAGAAGACAGATGGTAACGCCACCTCAATATAGAGTGAAGGTTGCTCAAACCCATTAGATGGTTCGCTCACTATGGAAAGAGACCGACAAAAATCTCTGCCTTGCAGTGGCAAATAGAACATCGATGCCTGCCCATCAACGATTGGCTAATAGAGCAGACACGCCTAGAACAGCAGGGACGAGCATTACCGTGGTGCCACAGATGTCTCCAGTGCTTCCCCGGGCAGAAGCGTGCTGAGACAATAGAACACATCTTCCTCCTGTGCCCGGCGGCGGTTTATGGTGGAGAAGCTGGGATAGGATTTGGCGGCACATTGTTCTGGCAGCGTTGTGGCCATGGGACTGGAAGGGCATACTCTTGGGGTACTACCCCCAGATCCAAGGGAACACATTTGAGGAGAATATGTTTCACCTAGGAAGACGCGCTGTCCTATGGGTCATATGGTGGAGGAGATGCACCCTAGAGGTGGAAGGAGCAAAGGTGGAGGATGGAGAGGCCACGGAACACTTACGGCTATTAGTACAGCACGAACTCACGGCCCAGTGGAGGGCGGCAAAAGACAAACTCGATCAAATGCATACCCGGGGAGATATTAACCGAATCATCTCCCGCTTTGGCAAGGACTGGTTGGGAGGGGAAAGGGGGGGATGGGTGGCGGAGGTAAAGTGGGCCGGGGATCAGCAATTGGAGAGAGATCTGCAAGAGGAACACCCAGTAGAGATTGAAAGAGATTATCGGTTGTTTTTTCACGAATGGACTAAGGTAGATCAGGGAGACCCGTTACAGCCCGCCCAGGATTTTGCAGACCCCCCACCCCTTGTCCTTGGAGGAAGTGCCACCTGAGTCATGAGCTTGATCAGTCTTGTTCAGTCTTCCTTCAGTCTTATGAGTTTGTTCAGTTTCAGTTTCAGTTTTTTTGTTCAGTATTGTTCAGCCTTCCTCCAGTCTTACTGCAGTCGATGTCAGTCTTATTTCAGCCTCTCCAGACTATTCATATTCATATTCCTGCAAGATTTCTTAGTCCTTTCCGGTTCTTTTTACTTCTCATTTTACCTTCTCATTTTACCTGCACCGCGAGGACAGTAGATGGTGGGTAGGGGCTGGGTTTCGGAGGGAGTCTCCACCGGTGCCCCCCGGTGGCCCCCCCCCTCCACCCGACCACACCTCAGGTTAGGAAGGGATGTTATAATCCGGACATGGGACGCTGGACCCGGTTTCCAGCACTGTGGTGTCAGGCTCAATGGCGAAAAAGAGAAACTACTTTAAGATGTATCTAAGGGACGCTGGACCCGGTTTCCAGCAAGTGAGGCTCCCCACCAATAGATGGAGCGGCCCACCAGACAAAGCCTCAATCCCAGTGGTTCTCTTACCACGACTGGGATAGAGGTTTTGCACAGGCCTTAAAAAAAAAAAAAAAAAAAAAAAAAAAACGCTGGGTGTGACCCAGGAGCCGTTGCCCCCCCCCCCAAAAAAAAAGAACGGCAAGAGGCATTGGTTACTTCCCCCAAAGGAAGGATTGACATGTTGACCCTCTTCTTCATGGAGTATTACAGTATCTATCAAGGGAACACAAGAGGCATTGATTGCTTCCCCAAACGGAAGGATAACCTCTTTGCCTGATTCTTCATATAGAGTATTCCAGACTTCTCCTCACTACTGATCTTATTCGAGAGGACCAGACAACTGTATCCCCAGTTCTGTCACCCATCGCTGGCAGTTCATGTTACAAGGGGGACTCAGGTTATGCACATCGTCTGGAGTCTTACAATTTCGGGGTAACTAAGGCGCAGTCACGATTTCAGTTCTTAATCCACTTCAGGCATCCCTCGAATACAACATCCCACCCGACCCTCAAGCTGGGCTGTACACATTCACGATTTTCCTCGGTTTGGCACAACATTCGTGAAATCGTGACTGAAACGCATTGTCAAACTCAAACCGTGACAGCACCCTAGTTTTCCCTTTTTTTTTTTCTTCTTTTTTTTTGAAACATTTGTGGCAACATGCTATTGGAGGTGATACGAGCATCCTCCAATAGCAAGCCCCAGTTTATAGATGGCTCCAATCTATTGGTGGGGAGCGTCACCTGCTGGACACCGGGTCCAGTTTGTTTTGTTTTTTGAAACTTCGTATATGGGAACCTACTTAGCGAGGTGATAAGAGCATCCTCGGTAAGTAGGTCCCGACTTCAAAGGCTCCATCTATTGGTGGGGAGCTACACCTGCTGGAAATCGGGTCCAGCGTCCCTGTACGATGATGTGAATGTATCTTCTGGAAATCGGGTCCTGCGTCCTGTACAATGATGTGAATATATCTGCTGGAAATCAAGTCCAGCCCCCTATGCAGAGATGTGTTGATATCACCAACGCCCTATGTATGTCTTATCAATCAAACGGAACCCTAACCATGATGTGACGTGTAATACGATGATGTGATGTGTGTCCACTGGTGATCGGGTCCAGCGTCCCTATTCAGTGGTGTGTAACTATGTGTAATTATGTGCACTGGAAATCGGGTCCAGCGTCCCTATACAGTGGTGTAGTTATGTCCTACAGTCAGAGACTGTCTATATGTGTGCAAAATCCATGTGAGACAACATCCAATCTGTCTGTAATCATTCATCGATCTCTACATATCCCCTGAATGGAAAACCCCTTAGCACAGCACCATAGTAAATGAGACATCAAGCCCAATGCTATCAATCAAGCCAGAAAACGAACCCATGAGGCATATATCCCGCATACAATGGTGTGAATAGTTGTCATATCGCACCTATACTCACTATCAAAGTCAAAAGTCAAAACATAATTGTCAGCAATCCTTTCCTGATTAAGAGTTGAGGGATTGAGAGATAAGAGGTGATCAACCCTAATTAACGCAGGGAGATCATCTATCCAATCCCTACCCGATGCCAGGAGAGAAGACACGAATCAGCATAGGAAATCACCGAATAGGAGGGGGGGAGGGGGGGGAATAGTAAGTCGCACCTTCAACCACAAACCCCACTTCGCCAACCCCAACGAGCTACTACTCCCCCCGACTGCGCTGATTGCGACATCTTCCCCATGATGCTCATCAGGAGCTTGGATGCACGGCAGGCCCTCTCTGCCCCGCTGCTCCTGTGACTGTCGTTGCCGCTGTCGTCGTGGTTGTTGTTGTTCTTGTTGCTGTTGCTGTTGTTGTTGTTGTTTTTGTTGTTGTTGTTTTCGTTATCGTTGTGGATGTTATCGCCGTTGTTATTGCTGTTGTTGTCGTCCTTCACACCCTCGTCGCCCATTTTGCCCAATCCCTCCTCCTCATCGTTGTTGTTATCAGTGATGTTATTGTTATTGCCACCACCCTTCACTCCTGTCCCGCCCATTTCGCCCATAGGCTGCTCGCCATCGTTGTCGAAGTTGTTATCGTTGCTGTCGTTGTTGTTGTTGTTGTTGTTGTTGTTGTTGTTGTTGTTGTTTTTGTTTTTGTTTTTGTTGTTGTTGTCGTTGTTGTTGTTGTTGTTGTTGTTGTTGTTGTTGTTGTTGTTGTTGTTGTTGATGTCCACCTTCCAACCCTTCTCGCCGATCTCGCCCATTCCCAGGATTTCCTCCACCACATCCGCCGCCTCTATCTTGAACCCCTGCACCGCCTCCCACTCATCCGCCTGGTCTCCATCACCTTGCTGCAGATGAGCGACCCCATCGTTGTTGTTGTCATCATCCTCCTCGCCCATCTCGCCCATTTCGGCCATTTGCTGCTCGTCGTCGTTGCTGATGTTGTTAATGTCGTCAACCTTCCCACCCTTCACGCCAATCTCCCCGATCCCCTGCCTCTCCTCCATCACAACCACCGCCTCTGCCAAGAACCCCTGCTCCACCTCCCACTCATCCGCCTGGTCTCCATCACCCTGCTGCAGATGAGTGACGGCGTCGGCAGTCTCGGTGTCGCCCTGCAAAGAAAGCGCCATCAGGTTCTCGCACCATCCTCCAGGCCCCCCCTCATGTTCATCCCTGTCCCCTACATCCCCTTCACGGTCCATCTCACTATCTACTTCCCAGTCCACACACCCTGCACAAATGTTAGCATAGTAGCCGACCACGTCTTCGTCAACTTGCCCACCATCCTCAGCATACGAGACGCCGTCTTCCACGTAGAAACTCCATATTGCAATCCCCACCAACTCCATCACATTCCCGAAAAGCTGCGCCGCCATGTTTGTCGTCGTCTCTCTCTCAGCTGGCGGTACCCCTGCCCGCGCGTCTCGGACAGCCACGTCACCAACAGCCAACGCCACGTGGCCAATCAAGGAGCCACGCACGTGTGCTGGGCGCACGCACAGGCCCAGCGTCCAAGGAGCTTCCCTCCCCAGTCGCCAGTCGAGCCGGGGGAACCGGGTCTCACCAATCCGCTAGCGTCGGGTCGCTACCGCTAGTGCAGCCTGGGCCCCTCAGGGCTGCAGACCCTAAGACGGTTCCAATGTCCATTTCACTATGTTCTTTCATGGGGGCTAGTACAGCTTGGTTTGGAAGCTTTCCACTCTCGATCTGTATGACATTATTGTATGCTCAGGGACGCTGGACCCGGTTTCCAGCAGGTGCCACTCCCCACCAATAGAATGGAGTCACTAACTGATCTGTTAGGGGGGGGATGCTCTTATCGCCACAACTAGTAACAAATTTAGTATGTGCCACAACTAGTAACAAATTTAGTATGTGTTTCCACCTGGACCCCATCCTAAAAGGATTCTTCCCATGTCAGCAAAATGTCAGCTTTTGGCTCATACGAGGTCAGGTACCTGGGCCCACTCACCAGTGAATATATCTCAAGGCTGCTGCCCATTTTTTTGCCTTCCGTAGGAGAACAAAGGTGATATAGGTCAGTGGCCAGACCATTCACTCTGACATTCAAACTTCCGAGGGGAAGGGGATTCACAGCTCTTGATTTCTTTCTGACTGCCAAGTATGGATAGGGGGACATCTTTGTGACCCACTAACTTCAGCAAAATAGAATGCATGGTCATTATTGCTGTATTTGGGACCAACTTCCAGTCTAGTTACAGCGATAATGACCAGGCGTTCTATTCAGGTGAAGACGGTATGCTAGTCGCCTTTGGTCCCTAGGTGCACAGTTTTCTTTCTTTTTCTCATTGAAATGAACTGAAAGCTGAGCTAGAGGACCTGACATTGGCAGGAGGCACCTTAACCCAGTGGTCAAAACTGTGGGCCCAAAACGCCAGGCTTGTGTGCAAACTAAGACCTTGGACCTAGTGCCTGATGCTTGTTTGCAGGCCTTGCTATACCATTGTGCTGCCCCCTTCTTTTCTGCTATAGCAATGATTTGAGCTGCAGCGTACAGCCTTCACCCAAACACAACACACCCTGATTATGAATGTATCCAAACTATGTTTCTGGTATGTTGGCGATAGACCTCCCTGAAGGATGGCCGTTCTCCATTGATGATATAATCGCCTTCCGGGTTGGGAAAAAAGACTTCAAGATACACATGGCTCACAAGCTATGTCCATGGTGTTTCAAGTGTCAAGCCTATGGACACCTATATACCGTCTCGGCTTGCCCCCACCACCCCGTCAACCAAGTCAGGGCAACAGGGCGTCTAATTCAAAATCCCTTTAGGAGCACACGTTGGCGTACAGTAGAGCCAGGGCATGAAGGGTGGGTCTATGCTGAGAAGGCAGACGAGAGAAGGGAAACCATTGGCTGGGTGTGGGATAGGGCGGGGGATCCCAACTTGGACACCAAACCTCCACCCACTTGGATGCCCCCAAAGACGGTGGAATCCCATTTACAACCACACGAACCCGCCCCCGTACGGTCCACGATGGGCGGGAGGATGGAACAGGGCAAACCGGAGAGGAGGAAATTAGGCCCGGCCCCAGAAGACTGCCTGATGGATCAGGGGAGCCAGATGAGCCCAAAAACTCCGCCAAAAGGCCAACAGGGAGGCTCACAGACCTGGACCAAAGAAGGGAGAAAGGAGCAGGGTGCAGGAAGGAACAGGTTCGCCCTGATTGACATTGAATCAGGGGGATCTGATGGAGGAGGGGTGGCGATGGTGGGGGGTCGGGACCATGAGGGACAGCAGGCCCCGCGGGGGGAACAAAACGGAAAAGGAACCCATGTACAATCCTCCAAACACCAGCAGTCAACCACTGGTCTGAGGGATCCCTATGGGGGCGTACTAGAGTTGTGTGTAAAAGGGAGGGGCAATCCAACGAGCCTCGAGCTTTTATAGAGCCCAAATGCCTCAATACTGCAAATTTCGGATTGGATCATGTCAGGCCTGCAAACTTTGCATGCAGAGGCCCCAACGGAATTTGGACCCAGGCGCATACACAGGTAAGGGGAGGCCTGGAGAACAGTTTGCAGGTGAAGGACATTCCAGAACAAGGTCATTCATCACATTTTACATTACAGGGACGCTGGGCCCGATTTCCAGCAGGTGCTGCTCCCCACCAATAGATGGAGACTCCCTGAAGGTGCTGGTGGTGTCTGCTCCTATCAGCACCCCCAACAACCGTTCGGGTTGTTTAAGAAGAAGAAAAAAAAATGAACAACGTCTGCCAAACCGCATACAATTGGGGGAGCTACTGCAATGATTATTCAAAACTTCTGCGGCACACTTCCAGGTACCGGCAAGGGGGGAACAGGCAACAGGGAACCACCTGGCCGCTAAGCCCACCAGCGAACAACCGAGCGAGGACGGCCAGCAGAATCAGCCCGCCACGTCTGCGGAGCTGCCCGGGGGGAAAGACAACGCTGAGAATCGGGAAAGGAAAGGGAAGGAAACTAGGGGGAACAAGGAACAACAGGTACCCATCTCAGAGGGAAAAAAGCACAAGGCCCAGAGAAAAGTCGATACGGTGGACCACCTCGAGGGGGCTTTCAGCCTGCAACCTATGGAGATTGAGGAACCCTCAGCCCCCCTCCTCCCCCATGTGGCAACGATGGGCATTGACCATCAAGAGGATACGGGAGCACCTCCAGCCGACATGGACACTTAACAGAAACTCGAAATAATTGCTGATTGGCTGGTAGACGGCTTTCAAGCCCAACATCCGGGTGTCTCCCAGGACTTTTGGGACTGTACCTATGCTCAATTGTTTGCCATGTTAGACAAGAGCCCGACCCTTCGAAAGGCCCTAAAAGGCGCCCCCCCCCGCATATAACCTAGCCGGAGATTTTCCAACAGATCCGCCATCTCACAGCCCTGCAGTTCCACCCCCAAGCGCAACAACAGCCATCCCCGGAAGGACCAGGGGTGAACCAAATGATGGTGCAGGTCGATCCCAACCCCGGTCAACCGTGCCATAAAAAACTCAGGCAAATGGTGGAAGTGGACCCATACAAAAAAACCCTATTGCAGAAAGAGGGGGTGGCAGTTATCCCACTGACGCAAGCGGGAGACAGGATGGAGATCGGACTCTCCCCAGTTCAAGGGGGGGGTTACGCTGCCAGGTTGGGGCTTCTACAACATCTGGTCCCTACCTGGCCTGAGGGACACTTTCTTTGTCACCACTACCCAGCCAGAATCCTCGCAACTCTCCCCCAATTCGAGGGCTCAATAAGGGTAGCTACCACAGATCTGTATGTCCAGTTTGAGGATGACAAAGACTCCAACTTGAAGTGGTTTAATCATGGAGCCCTGATGGAGCTCCACCTCCATCAGGTAAAAGCCAACTCCTTCGGGTCGGAGGAGGACCTACACACTTGCTTATTGAGGGTTCTCTGGAACGGGCTGCTGTGCACGATCGACTGGTCCGCCTGGCCATGCATAAGAGACTAGAATCAGGGTGCGATTGGAAAAGGTTAAATCGATGGATGATATTGACACATTGTATTGCAAGAACCCGTAGTGGAAGAGTTGTCTCCGAAATGCAGTCCTAGATCTAAGGACTCTTAATGGAAATGGATTGACCTCCTTCAACTCCTCGAAAAGACAGGCTATTTGGGATCAGCCGAGGGGAGTGGGAGGAATGGACGTGGCCTGATGTCATCTGCGTTCAGGAAACCCACCTCATGGATAAACCTGAACACCACCGGGCCCATAAAACAGGTTGGCCACACCAGGTCTACAAGGTGCACGCGGTGACAACAGGGTCGGCAGGGGTGGCAATTTGGGTCTCACAGGGGTCTTGGTTAGAGATGGTAAATTGGGTGGCGGATGAAGAACAGGGGAGGTGGGTGTCGATCCTTGGGATGTTGGAGCTGGAGTTAATCTGTATTTTTTTGCATATATGCCCCTAACACAGCAACGGAAAGGGCACACTTTTTCACCCACCTTCAGAATCTCGCACCACAAGGAGTCCCACTGGTTATCGTCGGTGACTTCAAAGCTACGTCGACAAATGGATGGACAGGTTGGGGCCCCGGAACCCTTGTCCAAGTTATGTGGAAGAGGACGAAAGAGCAATGGCTAACCTTTGTGGAGCCCTGGGCGTGGTAGATGTGTATAGATACCTCCATCCGACAGAGAACACCTATACATGTCTTCACACCAATGACCAGGCAAGACACTCGAAATCGTGTATAAATTTGATCCTACTTTCTCAGGAGATTCAAAATGCTCTACAACTTTCTACTACCTTTCCACAGAGGCCCCACTCCGGCATGGACCATTGCTGACGTGAAACTATCTTCTCCTTTCGCAAGCGGTCAGATCAGGGGTCTGGATATTACAAGTTCAATACATCCTTACTCAAGGACAAAACTTTCCACACATACATTCACGATGTATGGGAATTTTGGCGGAACGAAAGACACACTTTTGACTCCGAGGTGCGATGGTGCACTAAAGGAATATTCTTCCTAGCCAAAAAATATAAGGACTATTCGAAACTGCTGGCAGACAGACGTCATGCGCATGAAATAGACATTCATAGACGACTTCACAACCTGGTTAACCAAGACAACTCTAGCGATCACATCCCGGATAATATTCAAAGATCGAAGGACCAATTCCTACAACTCGCACAACACAGATGACAAGGCATTAGGATTCAAGGCAAATTAGCAAAATGGGTTACCGAAGGCATCATGGACTCTCATTTCTTCTGTCTGACTTCACTAAGAGCCCACAGTACTACTATCGAGGCCTTCCTAGGCCCCGTGATCGACAAATTGGCCACTACCACAACTCATTGTGTAAGGATTGCTATATCCTTTTACAAAGACTTTTTTTCCTCCCACACCCCCCAACGGCAAGTGGACGATCGACTAAGAGAGTTGGTGCACC